CGCTGTGCCAGCTGGGCTTCTGCCCGCCGAGGAGGGTCAGGGCCGGTGCGGAGACCCAGGTGAGCGTGGCGGAGCAGCCCGGGGGTCGGAGGTCCCCCTCCGGTGCGCCTTGGTTCCCCGCCAGAGGCGTCCAGGCGCCTCTCTCGGGGCATTTCCAAAAAGCAAAGCGGGCGTCTCCCCGTTTCCTCTGGGCAGGATGAAACGGAGGGCCCAGCAGGCCTCCCCCCAGAGCATCTCTGAGCGCCAGCAGCTCCCTGGGGGCTCTGGGGCCGGGCCACCCTTGGGTCGCGCAAGTGAAGAGGTGCTGCAGAGCGCACAGGGGTGCCCATGGCCCCCTGCAGCTGCATAAAGCGGCTGAGCCTCCTGCCAGTCCTGGGGAAGGCAATGTGGAATAAGGCGCCTTGTTGTGTTGCTCAGGCCTAGAATTCCTTTCCTGTCCTTCTTCCGCCCCCCTGGGACGTTTTCAGGGCCTGACGGAAGAGGAGCGGGGCGGCTGCAAAGAAGCCTTGCAAGGCCTTTTGGACAGCGTGTACCAGCCCCTGGTGGTCCGGGAACTGCTGCTGCTCCAGGGAGGACCTAAGCGGGTATGGCTGTGTCACGGAGAAACTAGATTTGCAACCTCTGAGTTGGTTCTTTTGGCTTGCAAATCTTTCCTCCTCGTACTCCTGCAAAACTGAAGCATTTTCGGAGAGACCCCAAGTTACCACTTGCGTGGTTGGGAGCTCCAGGTCAGTGTGGTTGAACTATGACACTGGGTACACCCCATGCGAGGACCATGACACTGATTCAGTATCCCAGCAGGAACCAAGCACTGAACGCACAGAAGCTTCATACCCAACCCTGATCTGTCCTCCTAGCTCAGCACTATCTCTGGTCACTGTAACTGTGGCTCCCCAGAACCCGGTCTTTCCCAGGGCCTGCTCCTTGACAGCCTGTCACTAGAGACCCCGTCAGAGATCCAGCTTGGGCCCTTCTGCTTTTCTAGCAGGTGCATCGCAGGGAGGGGGAAAGGAAGAGGCGTTACAGCACCCATGTCTAAATTTGAGTGGGATACAACCTGACCGAGCTCCAGGCCAATCCTGGAGATCTGCTGCCAGGCAAATGGTGCACTCGGAGAAGCTTTCAGTCAAATAACCCGAGTCCATTCTCTTTTGGAAAGAAGGATTTTGGCTGCCTCTGTCGCCTACTGTCAAAGCCCATCAGGGCAAGGCAGGAGGAGGGATTCTGCACAGAGGGGTTGGTCGTGGTCCAGCGTACGCATGTGTTTCTTTTTCAGGCCTCCTATCCCAGCCAGCAGAACAATGAGCCATCAGCCCCAGCCTGGCTTCGGCGTCTTTGTGGGCACCTGCTGTCTGGGAGGCTGTTAAGACCTGGTGGAGTCCAGGCGGTGATCCGTGGCATCCTGGAGGAAGCTGGAGGTGAGTGAGGCCAGACGAAGCAGCCAGATACCTTTAGAAAGCTGTAGCAAGGACCGAAAGGTAATTGCGGTCCTTTGCTCCAGTGTTTCTAAACTTGGCCTGGCTATTTAAGTACAGTAGTTCCTGTTTAAATAAATAAGGGTACGTGTGAAACAGGAAAACGTTTTCAGTCTGGAACAAAGCATTGTGTGCCAGTGCTTTTTGGATCAGCCCCAGTTTACCAGAACAAAACCTGGATTTCTGGATGGGGTAAATAAGGCAACTGGGTGCATGTTACCCTTTTTCTCTCCTCCCCTCCAGCCCCAGTGCAGCCTATCCCACTTGCCCGCCCAGCCTCTCCCTTCTCCCTCCACTCAGCCACTGTTCCCACCTCTGTCTCTGCATGGCATATGCCGTGAACCCATCTGCCATACAATCTTCCCAGTACTTTCCTATTTCCTTCTTTCTCCCAGCCGCCAATGTCCTTAGCTTTTTCTGTGTTGCTTGCCCCCCTCCCCAAAACACTTTCCCCCCAAACCACGCGTGGAACAGAAGTCCAATAATAGATGTTTTTGTTCTGGCACAGGCCACCCGAGACCAGCTCTTCTGGGCAGAGAACAGTTCATTCCCAGAATTTTTGCACCTCCCTATTTAAATAATTAAGGAATAGCATCAGCAGAAAAAGCGGGGAAGATCCGAAGCAGCCTGGCAAGATACTGAGCTAGTGGATCAGTGCCTGGCTTGGTCGAAGGCAGTCAGTCTCCCTGGAGGTCAGAGCAGGAAATTGTAATTCTCTGTGGTCACGGGTTGGCTGTTTTCTGCTGTGCTTGTCTAACATGGAGCCTCCTGCTTTCCAGCTGGGGCTGCGGGGGGCAACAGCGCAGAAGCGGCAGCAGCTGACTGGCAGAAGTGCGAGGCAATAGCCAAGGTCCTGTCCTCGTGTCCTCAGCAGTCTCTGTCCCTGGAGGATTATTGTCAACAGATATGCCCGCAGGTACATTGTTTACCCCTTCCCTTTACCCAGCAACTTGCATTCCAGGACAACCCAGCTGGTGCATGGAAGTTTGTGAGCCAGGACTCCCAGGGCGGCTCCTGCATGAAGCATGCCCTGCCAAGCAGAGTGCCTTTCCCCTACATCCGCTCTCTTGCAAAGCAGCTCTCAGTTTTCCTGGCCTTTGCCAGCTGTTGATGGTCCTTGACTTCTGCAGTTTCTGCCTACCAATGCTGAGCCTTGGGGGTTTGTAGGCCTGCCACCCCCCTCCCCTACAATCGGTCTGTGATAGAGTGCATGCTATAAAGCATAATTTTAGAAACATTGCTGGTGAGCATCATGTGAATTGAGCATAAAACCATGTGGTTTTATTCTTTTCTCCTGAAGGTTCTGCAGCTGTTTCTCATCCAGGATAAGCTCACAGCACGCCAGTTCCAGCGAGTGGCGACCGCAACTGTCCTCACCATGGTGAGGCAACACCCACAACAGGCAGAGAAGCATCTGCTGTGTCCCCTGCTGGAGCCACTGTTGCGCTGCCTGGGGGGACCAGGTAACAGCCTCCCACCTCATAAACATTTGGCCCAGGCTGGGGAATCAGATGATGTCTGCAGGAGAGGCAGAGGAGAAGCCCACCCGCTCCTCTGCAGCTCCTTATTCTGTCCTCTTGGAAGATGGAAACAGCTCCTTGTTTCTTCAGGGGCTTTTTTACCTAGAATTAGCGGCTCTGGGGTTCTTAGGCCGGATAGTCCTCCAGCGGGACTGTTCCTCAGAAATGTGTCCCTCTGGTCAGTTCACCAACGAATTCTGGGCCGTTCACAAGAGTTCAGTGTTAGCAGTTGAAACAGTGCTGGGTAAGACACGCTGGGTAGGCTATGATGCGTTAGTTTGAGTTTTACTGGTATTATTAATTAGATTTGTATCCTGCCTTTGCGTTATACAAGCCAAGGCGGTGTACGCAATGCTCCTGCCCCCTCTTTTCACCTGTGAGGATGGTTGGACTGAGTGAGGGTTTGCCCCAAGGTCACCCAGCCGGCTTCCAGGCCCACAGTCTCATGGTCTCTGGCCCAGCACCTTCGCCGCTGCACCAGGCTGCCTCTCAGAAAAGTAATTCATGCTGGAATTAATGGGCTATTTTGTTTCATTTGCTGGTTGTATCATGGCATGTGGTTAAGTGAAACAAACCAACCTGATGGTCCTTTTCTTTGCTGTGTTCAGAAGGTTCCCTGGCAGACCTGCCAGCCGGGACCGTGCTGGTGAAAGAGGAGTTGCTCACTGGGTGCGTGGAAACAGTGTATAAGGTATGGCACCGGCCCTACTTGTTTGCGTGCAGTGTTGGAAGTGGGGATGGCAAGCAAAGGAAGGACCCCGCGTTTACTTTCAGACTGAAAGTTCCTGTAACAGAGCCAGGCTGTGTGTCTCCTTCCTCAGCTGTGGCCTCTTCCAGCTGCGCTGCAGGCCTCGCTGCTTCTCAGTGAATTTGTGCTGAAATGGGCGAAACGTTCTTCTGTGAAACAGCAGTGTCAGTCTCTAGGTGGAGGGCGCCATTCCTGCTTGCTTTTCACACTCTGCTCAAAGTAATCCACCTTTTTATCTGTCCCTACCAGTCCAGCACTTGAGTAGTGAAGCAAGGAAAAACTCTGCCAATGGGGGAGCAAACACTGTGCATCCAGCTATGGGGGGGTGCAAGTGGGGGAATGGTGAAGGAAGTTGGAGCCCTTTCTCAATCTGCCGTGGCTGAGTGCTGATGGAACTGAGGACAGGCAGCTTGAATCACTGGGCTAGAGGAGGTGGTACAGGTTCTCTGTTAGTCTCCTCCTGCTTCATTGCACTGAGTGTAAAAAACAACAATCAGTCTCCCCCCTCCCCGCCCCACCCCCAGAAGGAATACAGAATGTGTGCACGGCTGGCTTGTAAACATGAAGACTCAGGGGCTGAGCCTTTAGCAGCAGCAGGCTTGCCCAAGGTAGGTGTCTCAGGAGCCCAGCGTGGGGGGGTGGGGCTGCAATTTCAGGAGCTGAATAGCAGCGAGCTGCCGCAAGATCTTTGGCAGACACCTCAGCAGCTTGAGCTCTTAAACACTGATTGCTTGAGAGCATCTTGGGCACTAATGAGCTGTTTTAGAGAGCTGGCAGGCAGAAACAGGTCCACGAGGCCATAATGTGGCCACAGTTCCTTCTGTAAATGTCTGGGAGAGCAAGGGGGATCCTCTGCTCCTGGCAATGTGCAGGAATCTGGGGAGGGGATTAAGGCTGCAAACTGAGCTTGTGGGAGGTTTGCTTCCCAAGTGTCATTGGATGCTGGATGGGGAGGCTCACCTTGGGGCATCCCCCGACAGATGTTGAGGAAGAATGGCTCCTGGGGGATTAGCCCAGGAAACGTTGCTCTTTCGCAAGGTTGCCTTTTTGTCTGGTAGAGAGTTCTGTCCCATTCAGGATGACTTTAAAACGTCCCTGATGCCGGTTCTGAGATCAGGAGAACTAGCAGTGGTGCTGCTAAGTCTAAGAACCTAGACAGCCATTCAGTTGCAGGTCAGGATAGGCTGGTCTGAGGTGTGGGTAGACTCTAAAGGGCTGGCAATGAAGGTGCCGGGTCTTGGCTTTCTGACTGAGTGGGTCAGCAGGCCACGTGGATTCCAAATTCTCTTGGGGGTGACAGTTTTGCCTGGGCTGAAGGTGAATAAATAACTGTTGGGATTTCCTGGCAAGAAAAGGGGAATGCACGATCTTAAAACGATGCAGACGTGGGTAAATGTTCTTGTCCGCCTTCCTTCTACCTCTGCTAAGAAACCTGGATAGGACATCATCTTGTCCTCAGGCCCTGGAATTCTTCCTTAGTTCCTGCTCTGTGGCTTCTGCCATCTCAGCCAGCATTGCCTATTGGTCTCCATAGCCCAGAGAGCTAGAGACGTGTTCATTTCAAAGGAATTTTAAAGAGAGCTCTCCCTCTTGGGAGAAGGACGCAGTCTGGGACTGGACCTACTCAGTCTTGTGGTGAGATGCTCCCTTCTTCCTCTCTCAGCTGCTCGCTGCCTTGTGTTCCCTCGCAGGTCTGTGTGGTTGGTGATGAACCCTCGCCTTGCCTCTTGGGCTCCTTGCGGCTTGCGCTGGGGGCCATCTTCTCCCTCTGGTGTTTTACCAAGCAGAACGTGTCTTTCTTACGGTAAGCCATGTGGCCTGGGCGGGAGAATCTCCTGAGCTCTTTCGTGGGCTGGGGACAGACCTCCCTGGCTGGGACCCTCCTCACAGTAGCTGTTCTCCCGGTTCCTGGTAACCGAGACGCCACCATCGGCCTGAAGGCCAAGCTCCTTGTCCCGAGGAGCTGTGAGCAGCGCTGGCCTTTGCTTTTCTGCCGGGGTGGCAAGTCCCGCTCCTGGAATGGAGGAGTTTGTGCTCCTTGTCTGGAAAAGAAGAACTTAAAGATGGCAACGAAGCATAAAAGAGGAACGGAGGAAGGGGGCGCTGAGGAGCATCCAAGGGTCCTGGTCTGTCGGCCGAAGCGTTGCACAGTTAGGCCACTGCCAAGTGCTTTTCCTAGTTCCCACCACCCTGGCCCAGGAGGACAGACAAGAGGGGTCTTGCCTGGGGGGCTTCTGGGCTGCCTCTAACCAAAGCCATCTTCCCCTGGACTGGGGTTCATGCCCCCCTCTGCCCTGCTGCTTTCAGCACCCCCTGCCAGGAGATCCTGTTGTGGTTCCTGGAGAAGAGCGAGCGGCAGGCCTCTCTGGCGGCCCTCGAAGGCTTCGCGGAGCTTAGAGGAACCGTCCGCCTGCTCCACCCACGCTGCCAGTTCCAGGTGGCCAGCGAAGGGGGCGTGGTGGTCACCATCAAGGAGGCTCTGAGGTGAGAGACTGCTGGAGCTTCCCCAATGAGAGGAAGCCAGAACTGGGTTGCAGAAGATGTTAAAGTATGGGTGGGGGGACTCCTGAACCAGATGGGCTGCAGTTGTGGGGTACTGGGCTGTCAGGAAGGCCTGCACTACCCTTTTCTTCTCAGGAAGTGGGTGCAGAGAGTCTGCCATGTTCAAAGGCGGCTGCAGCCCATCCAGAACTATAGGAGATGGGGGCCACAGCTTGGGAGGCTCCCCTTTTGGAGCAGCTTTCCAGGAGGATTGTCAGCTTTGTAACTGCAGGTGGTCAACAGGGAGTAAAGAAATCTCCCTTCTGGGAAGGCCCTGTATGCTTGCACAGAGAAGGATGGAAGAGAACTGTTCAGTGCTGTGATGGAATGGAATTATGAAGGCCAGGCTCAGGGAGATAAGCATTTCTTTAGCTCGCCGCAGGAGCATGGGAACTACAAGAGGATGAGACTGGCACCTCCTTGAGGAATTCACACTGCTGTGACTGGCTGACTTGGGAGCTGGGATTTCAGTCTGGGAAGATTCTTGCTAGAGGTTGTAGCTAATAAACATAGCTGAACTGATTTTGCATTGTCTCTTGGAGTTCCTTGGGCTAGGCCTGACAAGTGCATAGAGTCTCGTGGGCTTTCCCAGGGCTGCTCTTTGTCCCTCGATGAAATATTTGTCCTCTCGCTTCGCAGCGATGAAGACGAGGGAAGGCCAGGCTCAGGGAGATAAGCATTTCTTTAGCTCGCCGCAGGAGCATGGGAACTACAAGAGGATGAGACTGGCACCTCCTTGAGGAATTCACACCGCTGTGACTGGCTGACTTGGGAGCTGGGATTTCAGTCTGGGAAGATTCTTGCTAGAGGTTGTAGCTAATAAACATAGCTGAACTGATTTTGCATTGTCTCTTGGAGTTCCTTGGGCTAGGCCTGACAAGTGCATAGAGTCTCGTGGGCTTTCCCAGGGCTGCTCTTTGTCCCTCGATGAAATATTTGTCCTCTCGCTTCGCAGCGATGAAGACGAGGCTCTCTATCAGAAGGTTTCGTCAGAGCAGTGGCGGCTGGAGCAGCTGGTGGACTTGTTGTCGCACTGCCGGAGTGGTGGCCTAGCCGGAGACTTCTTCATATGCTGCTTAAAGGTAGGGCTGAGCACGTCTCTGTAGCATGTGTGTGTGCATGCTTCTTGCACAGTAGTTGGATGGATATGACACGCGTTGCAAAGATCCAGGCGTTGTTCTTCAAGCTCATGCTTCAGCTGACAAGACAAATCCAGGCAGGGGAACTGCAGTTCTCTGGACTTGGGCTAGGGTGGGACTATGATTGGAGAAAGGCCCCTGGAACTTCAGGGTCTTGACAGGGTCTCGTCTGGATTACTGTACAGCGCGGGATGTGATCCTCTACATTGCCCCTCCCAGCTCTGTGAGCAAGCCACGTACCCAATGAGCTACAATCCTTCCCACCCATGTTTTTCTGGACAGTTATTCATGTATTTTTAAAAGCATTTGACCGTGCGTTTTGGCCAAGAAGAAAAGGCTACCTCTGCCCTAGCTTGCTGGAGCAGCGGGTGCCAGGCGTTACTTAAGGAGCAGGGGACAAGGGCAAGCAGGAGGGAGCTGGCCTCTTAGCGTGCTTCCCTTCTGGTCTGTTGTCTCTGGGAGACCTTTCTGCCTTCAGGGATTTTGCCACCTGTACGGAAGATGGCTGCTTTGGCCACCTGCCTGAAAAAGATTTCAAGAGAACCCCCAGGGCGGGAAGGAGTTAACCCCAGTTCCCCCTTGATCTGTTGTGACAACAGCCGGATGTTTGAAGTCTCCTGGTGTGTTAGGCAGCTGTGAATAATCCCCGCTTTCTTCAGGATCCTCCCTGTGTGCTTTATCTTGAATGGAGGAGGGCAGGTGGCTTAACAAAAATTGGAAAGAGAAAAGAACCCTGTTTCAGATCAGTTCCTTTATATCCCCCCAAACTCCAATCTCCCAAGGCTCTTGCTCCCGTTCCGGGCTGCCTTTCCCTCCCTCTTCCTCTGCAGCCGTTGGTCTCTTTCCGGGGCTGGAGGGTAAGGTGGGATGGGATGGGGACCTTGGGAAAAAAGCCATGGGGTCTTTTGCTGCAGAGGGAGGACCCAGTCCATGTACCAGGTTCCTGTGCACTTTGGAGATTGATTTGATGGGTTATTACATGTTTACGTGCCTTTCTGCTTGTGTAAACCCTCGAAACTCATTGGCTGCCCTGCTCAGCGCCCATATCAGCCTCAGACCAATCTTCCATTTGGGTGGATGGACGGATGGACAGATTGTGCCTTCCAGTCCGTGTTGACTCCTGGTGACTGCCTGGACTAGTCCCTGCATTTTTTTCAACAAGGTTTCTTTGGAAGCGGTTTGCCCTTGGCTTCTTCTTCCTAAGGGCGAGAGAGAGTGGCTGGCCCAAGGTTACCCAGCTGCTTCGAGTCTAAGGGCGGGACTAGAACTCAGGGCCTCCTGGTCTCTAGCCTGGGGCCTTCACTGCTACACCAAGCTGGCTCTCCTGCGTATTCACTAGATTTATATGTGGCTCTAATCAACAGGTGACTCTGAGTGGCCCCCATGCCTCGTGCAGGAATCAAATTAAAAATACAAAACTGTCGTAACAGTGACCAAACAATAATAATACAAGGGAAGGGAAGGGAAGGGAAGGGAAGGGAAGGGAAGGGAAGGGAAGGGAAGGGAAGGAACGTAGCCCTGGGACAGTCGTCCCATTGCCAGCCATTCTCCTTCAGAAGGAAGCCATCCGGGCTTCAAAGGCTCCATGGAGCAGCCAGACTTGAGGGTGCAGGACTCCTTTCCCCTCAGTGGCATCTGCTGAGGAAATGGGGTGACCACGGGAAGTGCCCTGCGATTGTTCAGTCTCTCTCCTTCCACTGTGCCCCCCCTTTGCGGCAGGAGCTGACCCAGATAGCCTCTGAGGAGGACCCTGCGCCCCCTTCGCAAGTGGGCCCCCTGGATCTGGAGCAGCCCTGCAACCCAGCCCTCCCGCAGCAGATGAGGCAGCTCCAGGTGCTTCAGGTGGTGGCCGTGCTGACCGAGGGCATCTCGGACTCTTTGCTCACGGATGTCAGACAGGTTTGTCGAGCCTCGCCTCCCGTCCTGCAGAGCCCCAGCCCTCCAGTGGGACAGGTGGCCTGGCTGCTTCACGTGAGGTCAGCCTGGGCCGGCTGCATAAGCTGGTGGCTGTTGAGGAAGCAGCCTCTCCCCTTGAGGGTTGTGCCAGGTGTACAGCAGCGGGGGGAGGTTGCTGGGTGGAGGGGCCCCCGCCTGTCAAGCTGAGAGCTGCAAAGTACTGCGGTGTCCAGTTGTCTGCTGCGGAGGGAAGCTTCTTCAGTGCAGCAAAACTCTAATCTGGCCCCTCCTATCCTCTTTGTCTTCTGAAGGGTGTCAAGGGGTGGGAAGGGGGCACTGACTGAGCGGAGACCATTCCAGGGCCAGGAGAAGGTGGGAGGAGCACAAGGTCTAAACTTGGCTATGTCCAGCTGGGACCCTCACTTTGCCCCCAAGAACATTTGCAAGCCGGGAGCGAAGAGGGCACCTTTTGAGCAGTGTGTTTAGAGGGGCACAGGGTGATGTAGGCCTGGCGCCCTTGCATTTCATTGCCCACCTCGACTTCCCTGCTGCCATTTCCAGACCACGGGGAGGCTGCTGCCTCTTCGCTCTCTGAGGCTTCGTCCCCTGCCTTCAGGGCCCTGCCAAGTGATCCACCTGGGGTTCTTGGTGGCCAGAGAAGAACTGTCACTCTTGGGGGGTGGATTCCGCAGTTCTTGACAGAACAGCCCAGGACTGTCAGCGAGGGAGTCACAGCTCCGGCAGCCGCTCAGTAGAGCTGTCCCAAGCTTTGGTTCTAGAAACGCCTGGTCTGTCCTTCGCTGGGTGTCTTCTGGTGTCTCCACTATCCTCCTGTACTCAGGTATGATGTTCCATCCACAGGTTGTGGAATTTGTGGCAGCCACTCTGCAGCGGGCCTGTGCGAGTCTCACCAAAGGCTTAGTGGGCGCTGTGGAGGCCCAGACCCTGAGCATGGCCATGGGGCTGGTGGCAGCCATGCTGGGTGGGGCCATGCAGGTGAGTGCACCTGGGGGCCTTGCTGGCAGGATCGGTTCAGGGGTGGTGCCTTTTTAAAAGCATTTGTGGGGGTTTTAGGTACACAAAGAGCAGGAAGAATAGAACCCAAAGATTCAACGTGGAAATAAGCTCTCTCTGTGCCCCTTTGCAGGTTACCCATGAACTGAGTTAATTTGTTTTTAGACCATTTCAGATTCCGGCCCTCAGTCCAGTTTTTCTCCTGCCTCTGCTAATTTGCCCCCTCCCTCCTCCCATGCCTGACCGTTTTGAATAGGATTCATCAGTCGAATGCCCCGCATTACCTGCAGGTGTCTTTGTGGGGGGGAGGGAAATTGTAGAGCAGCCTCAGGCTACCCGGAGCCCAGTTAAGGCTGGAACGCCCGCCAGCTGGTGAGTGAAGACCTGCCGGGCTTCTGAGCGGGGCCGGGCGAGGGGCTGCGTGGGTCAAGCTGACTCTCTCTGGCCTGCAGAACAGCTTCAGCCTGGCCCAGCGAGGCTAGCTAAGAAGGGGGCCCTTTCCGTTCCCCCGGGTGGGGGTGCTTTGAGGGGCAGGGAGACATCCTCGTGCTGAGGCTCCTTTGGTCTCTGACCACACCACAGAGTGGGGAATGGGAGGCGGGGATCTTCCCCATTCTGGGAAACAGGCCGAGGCCTTGTCAGCTTCCTGAGTCAAGCCTTCACTTGCTGGGGCTGGTCCCAGGCACGGCGCTCTCCCTCCCTCTCCGTGTCCTGGGCTTTCAGGCTGCGGCTTGTTCCTCTGTTGCCAAAGCCTGCTGTGGTTTCCTGAGGAGGAATGCTGGGGGTGCTTTTCTGGTGAGTGCGCAGGCCAAGCAGAGAAAAGCCCCCTCCGCCCACACACCAGGTCCCTTGAGAAATGAGGGAGGGGGGCTTCTTGGCCATACCCAACTGCCAAGTGTGAACAGCGAGGGAGGGTCGAGGGCCCTGGCGCGGATCCTGGGTGCTGCTGCCTGCCAGGAGGGAATTCCCATTTGAGAGCCAGCCGCCGCAAAGCCCTAGTCATCTGCCAGCCTCAGAGGCAGCAGGAGGATGTGCCAGCGGGATGGGGCAGGGCTGAGCGTGGCTCCCTGCCAGCAGGAATTTGGTGGACTCTGCTTTTCCTGGCTCCCTCGAGGGCCTGAACCGGAGTCCTGGGATGGAGTTTTCTTCCAGCTGGGGAAAGAGCAGTAGCTTTATTCCCATCCCATCCGCCATGTGCACCTGCCAGCTCAGGGCGTGATCTTATCTCCCCCGCCGGGAGTCTGTGCGCACGCCCATAACGGTAACCACAGCAAAGGCTCTGGGCTGCAGTGCCACCTCCTGGTGCTTCCTGCTGCAGCCCGGGGCCAAATTCTCAGGACCAGCCCTGGTTCCTCTGTTGGGCGGCAGGCTGACATGCTCCCTGTTGTCTCCCCAGCTGAAATCCGAAGACTTTGCCACCTTAAAGCAGCTGGTGCCCCTGCTGGAGGATGTCTCCCGGGTCCACCCAGAGCCCGTCATCCAGGAGCTCGCAGCGGACCTGGGCATCTCCATCTGCACCCACTCCGCCTTTTCTACAGAGGCTGTCTGCGCTGCTGCTTGCAAGACCCTGGGCAGAAGTGGGGGGGCGGCAGGCCAAGCAAGGACCGCTGCAAGCGCAGGCACCCCGGATGGAACATCCAGACCTGTGGCGCCTCTGCCCCAGAAGCCCCCCAGGAACAGCTCAGAGGAGCGTCAGGGGATGGGGTCCGTTGCAGAGGAAAGCTCTGACCTGCAGGAACTTCTCCTGGGGGCTTATAACCCTGATATCCCCGTGCGAGCTGTTGCCTTGCGTCGCCTCTCCCGGATGATTGAGCAGAGGGATCCCGGAGCCCTGAAGATTCAGGAGAAATTGCTGACGGTAGGCAGCCGAAGCACCTTGTGGAAAAAAGCCTGGAGGATAGTGGCGGGGGGGGGCGGCTTGGGCTGGGCCTTGAGAGGAAGCCCCTGTCTCTCCCCTTTTGGCCTAACTGGGGAGGCATTCCTGCAGAGGAGATGGAAGACCTCCCTCGAGTTCTGGCCTACGCAAGATCAGTGCAGCCGATGTTGCTGGTCATGGTGAACCCCGCTTGGCGGCCAGATGATTCAACCTGTGGAGGTGCTTCTGTCCAACCACTTTGAGGCATACATAATTAGGTTTTCAGTTCCCAGGTTTTGCCTCTTCTGTTTCCTTGCTTCTCCCCAGACTTCAAGCACGTTGCCTCCATATGTTGAGACCCTTGTCCTCAAGTAGAGAGGAAACGCCGGTTTTTCTGGAAGGGTTTAGTCCAGCCTCCCGCTTCCAACCAGCCAAGAATGTTTTGAGCATTGAGGGCACAGGCTGGTGCAGCTGTTCTAGCAGGACCCTTCCAGGTCTGCTGGACATCACCCGCCCCTCTTTCTGAGGCTCAGTAAGCAGCTGTGGCTATCAGGCCCTTCACTCTTGAGGAGAAGCTTTCCTGTTCCCTCTCTCCAATCACCTAACAGTTTCCCAGGATTTCTGATTCCTGATCAAACCCACAGTGGTGCTTCCAGATACCAAACACCATGATGGGGCAGAACATTGCAGGCCATGTCACACACTGCCAAGAAGGCATCAGCCAAGAGGGGCCTGGTTGGCTGCAGCCGTTCAGGCGAGGTGATTCTTGGTTTTAATTTTCAGGTTTTTGTGGAAAACCTGGAACACACAGACTCCTTTGTTTATCTTTCTGCTATCCAAGGTAAGCAGACAATCTGGCTCTTGGTTACTGTCTGTGAAAGTGCAGGCTCCTTCCTGCCTAGCCAGCCTCCAGACATCTCTTGGTGGCAGGGATGCAAATAGTCAAGGAAGGAAGGTTGGGCTGGGCCCAGGTCAGAGGCTGGGAGCCCATCTGCCTGTCGTATATTGCTGATCTTTGTCAGTGGAGTTTTGCAAGAGGGCTTGAATAAGAGGAGAAGAATGAAGGGTCTGGGAGGGTTGTCCCTGAGTGAAACCAGTAATCCCACATCTGAGCTCCCACCACTCCTCTCTGGTGGTCTCCAAAAAGAGGCCTGTTGGCCTCCCACTAGTTTGAGCGGCGCTCATGATGCAGGGCGGTCTTGAGCAAACAGCTCTCCTGCTTCTCCTTTTCCCAGATGAGGGAGTTGCTTGTTCCCCAGCCTGGGCTGGAGGACATCCTTGGGAGAGGAGGGGACCTAGGCATGGCTGAGGCCAACTGATGCAACCCCTGGCCCTCTGGATGGGCAGTCCTCTTTCAGTGTGTCGGCTTGTGCAAAGCGATTGAACTTACTTTCACCAGTCCCTTGCACCTGTTTTTCTGTCTATGGGCAACGTTGCCTTTCTAGAGAAACCACCAACTCAAAGAAGCTTTGTCTCACCCTTTTCCTTGGGAGGAAAGCAGGAGTGTTCTAAGATCACCAGGGAGTGGATGGTGCTGTGCAAATATTGCCCTTGAGGTGTGGCCCTTGCTGTCTTCTGTGGAAGCGGATAGAAGAGCACGTTCTTCCCGCCTTTGGACTGCGTATCTGTCACACCTGTGATTTTGTGTGGGCCTTGGCTGTCCAGGCGGAGTCATTGCATGTCATACAGTTGGGGCTCTTTGCAGGCCCTGGTCCTGGCCAGCACTTGTATCCACCCAGGATTCACAAGGAGAATGGACTCTGGAGTTGCGATCTTGCCAAAAACGGGCTGGTTGCACAACAACAGGGACGCCCAAAGAGTCACATCTCCTGAGCACACATGAACTTGAGGTTTTGGTGAGGGTGTTCCCGGCATTCTGACTCTTATCTAGCTCACAGGACACCTCTCACCTGTCCCATCCCCCTGCCAGCAGCTGCGCTTCCTAAGAAGCACAAAGAATCACTTGGGTGTGATTTCTGCACTTCCTTGCTGAGCAGCGGGATAAGAAGGAGAATTTGATTTCTGTTCAGATCAGGAAGGGAGGTCAGCCCTGTTTGAATGGAGGAAGAGCCTCCTCCTGGGAGACTGATTGGAGGTGATAGCCGGGTTGCTCAAAGGCAGCAAAAAGGCTCAACCCTCTGGCCCTTCTATTAGGAATCCCTTTGGACCCTGTTTTTATCAGGGAGGGAGGGGCTAAAGGAAGTGCTGGCTTCTGCCTGAAGTAGCAAAGCAAGCCGGGGAGTCTTGCCTACCTTTCTCTTCCTTTCTGTGCTTGAGCATGTGGAGAACTTCTGCCTGTCCTGCAGGAAAAGACTCCTTGGCACTCCTGGGCCTGGGGCACCCAGCGCGGCTCCTTCCGCGTTGAGCAAAGCACCTTGCAACAGCCTGATGACTGCCGTGGAGGTTGACTCAGAAGCCGAGTGTTCAGACTGGCTGTTGGTGATGTTGGCAGTGCCCCAGAGGCAGGGAGGATGTAGAGCAGAGGCTAGGATGTGGGGAGAGAACTCCTTTTCCCCTAAATTCTCCACACACACACACACTGTTTTCAGAACAATCTCTGCTCTTCCTAGTTCAATGGACAGCCAAAAGCAGCTGAGCCGAGGGTTTCCGTCTTGCTGGGGCCACCCCTGCCGCTTGCTTACCTCTTGGCATCCGCAAAGATACACTCTGCCCGCCCCATCCCCAAATCTTGCTGTTCTGTAGATTATTTTATTGCTTCAAAGGCCAGAAGTGAGTAAATAACCCCCTGGATCTCAAAAAGAGTGAACCAGGACATCGGCAGATTTCAGCTAGTCTGGGCTGTTCTAGCTGTGATTTTATCCCAGGTGCGTTTGAGTCCAGCTACTTTGTACAAAATCTGCCACTGGCAGTGTAGACATTGCATATCTTCCACACTGGGTTTTTGCGATGGAATCCCTGTTGAAATGAGCAAGGCGTGGGCGCTCCGTTTGAGGCCGTTGGAGGGCCTCCCGTGCCTTTAGGGGAGAAGTGGGTCAAATCCCAGCAGTGCAGAAAAGCTACCTCAGGTCGCAGAGCCCCCAAGGGATTGTGACCCTCTTTGGCCAAGGACACTCTCAACCGCCTGGCCTTTCTCGGGCGTGCGATTCAGTCCATCCCCTGCTCCATGCGAATGTGGCCTCCTGCAGTGCTTCTGCTGCTCCCCCCGCTCGGGTCCGAAGCCAGGAGCGTCTGGGACTCCCGGCCCCTTGGCTGCCAGTCGAGCCTCGGCGTCATTCCCGGTGCTCCTCTTCCCAATTTCCAGGCGTGGCCCTGCTGTCTGATGCCTTCCCGCAAGAAGTCCTGCCCTTCCTGCTGGCCCAGTACGGGAGTGCCCAGATGGCGGAGACCAGGATGAAAGTGGGGGAGGTGCTGCTGCGCACGACTCGAGCGCTGGGTGAGTTGGCCTTCGGGTCTGCCTCTTCAGTGGGCTGGAGCAGCCAGGCATTATCCAGGGCAGGACCAGAGCAGAAAGGTGGGCTTCTGTTTGTGTGGTCACCGGGGACGTGGCCTCATGGCCCCGAATAGCATCCTCCGCATTTTGAGAGAAGACTGAGGAGCGTTTGGAAGACCTTTTAAGCTCCCTACCACGACATCTGTCTCTCTGAGGGGTCTGGCTGATTATTCCATCCAGGTAGTCTGAAAAGGGCTGGAGGGCACGTGAGGTTACGGTCAAGGCCCGGTGGTGACCTTCTTCCTCTTCTGCCAGGGCAACTGCCTACCCTGGGCCTTGGCACTAGCCAAGTGACCAAGCAGGCCTGATCCTGTTTGGTGGGCTGCCCCCTACCTGGAGGCCAAGGGGCAGAGTCACCCCAGAATAGGCCTCCGTCTCCTGCGGGAGCTCTCTGTGTTTCAGGGAGAGCGAGTGAGAGGTCCGCCTCCTCAGGCCCCAGAACTGGGTCTTCTGGTACCCAGCTTTGCGAGAGAGAATTAAGCACGTGTGGCCATAGCATCACAGAAACCTATAGCTGAAAGGGCTCCATGAGGCCACAGGGTCTGACCCCCCCCCCCCGCTCAACAGAGGAATCTAAAGTCTCCCTGACACATCTGTCTTGAACTCCCCCAGCGAAGGCAGACCACCACTTTTTCAGGTTGCTGGTTCCATGAATGAGTCCCTTCTTTCTCTGAGCTTGGTTTGTATTTGAACCTCAGGAGGGTTTGGCGGGTCTGGTTTCTTCATAAATGAACATCCAGGAATGGCCCACCTATTTCCTGCGTGTCGCAGGGTGCCTTTCTAAAGCTCAGCAGCGTGGCCCAGATTGGGTGATTTCTCCAATACAGAAGCCGGGTGGCTTGTCTGGGTTTGAGTTCTCTGCCTTTTTCCTCCCCTTTTGCCACGTCCGATCCTTAAATGTCTCCCCACGAGGCCTCGCTCTTTGCTGCAGCCAGGAACAGAAGGGGCTGCTCTTGTCCGGCATAGCATGGAGCGGCCTGGGTGGTGCCGCCATGATGCTAGAGCCCCCTGCCCACCCCCATTGCCAGAGTGCATTGTGCATGGGCCCACACCCACAGGCGCATATCCCTTGCTCAGCCTCATTATCTTCCAGGGATGTTGAACCTAACTCCTCATTAAACTACCATCTGGCCCAGATGTTTCTCCATCTGCACGCCCCACCCGCTTGTTTGGTGCAAAAGTGGCTAGGGGACCCGGTCTGGGCTCCTTGCAGTGAGGTAGCAACTGCTTCATCTTTGCAGGTATTTGACCACCACAATGTGGGGACGCCTCCTGGCTCTCGACTCCCCATCTTAAGGGAGCCCACCCATTACGGAGCCACTGTTTTACTTAGGAAATCCCCTTCCTTTTCCTGGGCCGGGGTGATGGACCTTTCCCTCTCTCCCTCCCCCCCACCCGGTCTTACCTGCCAAGAGAAAGGGTCCCTTGGCCTGGTTTTGTTCTCTGCCCCCCAGGGGAGGTTTTGCTTTGGTGCCTTTGGTGGGGAAGGGCTGGCTGGCTCCCTCTGCTTGCGGGCAGCCTTTGAGAAGCAACTGGGGCCTTCTGTGCTCTGCTTCTCCACTCGATCTGCCTTCCTGGCCTGAAGCCCATTTTGTTCCCATTGCTGGAGGCAGGAGTGCGCTAAGGCTGCCCGAGCGCCCCTGCCCCGGCTGAAAATTCTCTCGGCTCCCTGAGTGCTGCTGGCAGAGGGCCCTCTCGTTAAAGAGAATCCTCTAATTGCACCCCTGGGTGC